GAACTCCTGAGCTCAAACAATCCGCCCGCCTCAGCCTCCCAGAGAGCTAGGATTACAGGCGTGAGCCACTGCGCCCGGCCTTCAAAGTCTTTAACACTATACTTTGCACAGAATAAGTGCCTACTACATGTTTTCTGCATTGAATTGACAATTGTGTATATGAAATCCATAATCTAAGACTGCTCTACCCCTTTATTCATTACCTTACTTTCTACTTCACAGAAAAAAATGGAACCCATCAGGTAGAACTTCTAAACTTCCTGCTATTAAAGAAATAATCTCTGATTGTTTAATAAATTTTTTGACTGAGTTTTTCTAATGCATGTTATCTACTTTAGAAGCTAAGAATTTGGAGAATGAAGAGAAAGACAATCCTATGGAAGAAGGGGATTCTGAAATAAAAGCTGCAGAGAAAGGTAACTGAATTAGTTAAGGAGATAAATGGGCAAAAAAGCCCTTCTGTTCTGTTTGTATATTTAGGTGAGATTAAGTCAGATAGAATTTTGAGTAAAAAGACAGATGATTTTTGTGGCAACATTCTAATGTATCCATTCTGGATATTTTTTTTCTTTTCAAAGAATTAGAACAGCTGAAAACTGAAGAAGAGGAGCTTCAAAGGTCAGCCTTCAATCCAAGTGTTAGAAAATGTAATGCTAAACTCCTGACAGCTAAATGACTTCCTGCCTCCAGAGACTGACAGAATTGGGGACATGACTCTTGACTAAGGCTGACTCAGGGCTTCTGCTCCACTTTGAATTGGACCCTAGAGGCCATCTTAGTCAACAATATTTTCGAAGCACTTATTGTTTGAATACTATCAGTGTCCTTTTAAAGAAAATAAGCCTGGCATTAAACTGCTTTTATATTTAAGAAATATAAAAGGAAGGTATATATTTCTTAGGCTTATGACTCTTATTTAACTGTAAGACAAAAAGAAAGTAGGCCGAGAGTGGTGGCTCTCACCTGTAACCCTAGCACTCTGGGTGGCTGGGGCAAGAGGATCACTTGAGCCCAGGAGTTTGAGACCAGCCTGGACAATGTCGCAAGACCCTGTCTCTACAAAAAATAAAAACATTAGCCCAGCATGGTAGAGCATGCCTGTAGTTCCAGCTATTCAGGAGGTTGAGACAGGAGGATTGCCTGAGGCCAGGAGTTCAAGACCAGTCTGGGCAACATAGCAAGACCCTGTCTCTAAAAAAAAAATAAGAAAAAAACAAGCCAGGTATGGTGGCATGCACCTGTAGTCCCAGCTACTCAGCAGGCTGAGGCAGGAGAAACACTGGAGCCCAGGAGTTTGAGGCTGCAGTGAGCTATGATTGCCATAGCCTGGGTCACAGAGTGAGACCCCATTTCTAAAAATAAAATAATTTTTTAAACTAAAAATGTAATATTTAATAATTATCTTAACATGTGAACCCCAGGGATATCTTCATGGATCCAAATTTGAGAGACAATGATTTACACCTTTCCTAAGTAGACCCACTTCTAGATTAATGCTTATCAAAAAAAAAAAACTAATAATGTAGAAATAGATGCCATATACCTGCATTATTACCTCATTGGGGAGCTATCTAGCATGTGAATTATTGTTTTAAACCTTTTAGATTAATAGTCTGAATTCTCTAACAAAGGCCTTACCTCTATATGAATACCTGCTTTTATTTGCAGAAATCTCTTAGAACTGGAGGTACAAAAAGAGCAGACACTTGCTCAAATAGACTTTCTGCAAAAACAAACAAAGAGAACTGAAGAGCTACTGGATCAGATGAGGTAAGGAAAAGCAGGTGTTGCTAGTTTCTGTCTTATCCTGTGCCTTAGTGGTTGTCTGGAGGAGTTGATATGTTTTTAATGTGTTGCTGTTTTTAACCTATAGTACAGTGCAGCCTCAGAAAGACAATATACTCAACACTAAGCGGAAAATATACAGAGTTGGAGAACTATGAGATTATAATTTTTAAACATTTAACACTTTATATTGCATGGACTTGGATTTTTCTGTGGTAATACAACTCGAGATTGATCTCTTATTTATTTCAAAAGTATAAGTTTGTACATTTACAATATTTGAATTGAAATATTGTCTCCCAATCTAGTGGAAAAACATCAATAGCTGCTGTTGGTACTATTTGGGTGGTACCACTTCTCCCTCTTCTTTTATCTTAGGAAAAAAAAAAATTCTTTTCTTATCTTGTTTATCTTTCTCCAGCCTGTCTGAGTGGGATGTCATTGAGTGGAGTGATAACCAGGCTGTATTCACCTTTGTTTATGACACAATAGAACTCACCATCACCTTTGGAGAATCAGTAGGTGAGTAGCCAAAGTGAGATAGTTCCTCTGAGAGAAAAATGAATGGCTAAACTCACTAAAAATTCAAATGATAACTTTTTTTTTTTTTTTTTTTGAGTTGTCTCACTTTGTTGCCCAGGCATGAGGACAGTGGTGTGATCATAGCTCACTACAACCTCAAACTCCTGGGCTCAAGTGATCCTCCTGCCTCAGCCTCCCTAGTAGCTGGGACTACAGGCATACACCACCCCACCCAGCTAAATGATAACTTTTTTTTTTTTTTTCTGACAGAGTCTTACTCTGTCACCTGGCTAGAGTGCAGTGGCATCATCATAGCTCCCTGCAACCTCAAACTCCTGGGCTCAAGAGATCCTCCTGCCTCAGCCTCCTGAGTAGCTGAGTACAGGTGCGCGCCACCATGCCCAGCTAATTTTTCTATTTTTTGTGGAAACAGGATCTCACTCTTGCTCAGGCTGATCTCAAACTCCTGGCCTCAAGCAATCCTCCCACCTCAGCCTCCCAACGTGCTAGAATTAGAGGCATGAGTCACCACCACTAGCCTAAATGATAACTATTGACACAATGAGAACACTGCTGAAAATCTTAAAAGAGTCAATTGCTTTAGTGATAATAGAATTTTATTTTATTAGATAAAGAATAAAAACTGCAGCTAGTGAATATTGCCCTTTGTTGAATTATATTAAATGATAAAATTTTTTTTTTTTTATTTGGAGACAGAGTCTCACTCTGTCTCCCTGGGTAGAGTACAGTGACATCATCATAGCTCACAGCAACCTCAAACTCCTGGGCTCAAGCAATCCTCCTACCTCAGCTTCCCGAGTAGCTGGGACTATAGACACATGCCACGTCGCCTGCCTAATTTTTCTATTTTTAGTAGAGATGGTGTCTCACTCTTCCTTAGGCTGGTCTCAAACTCCTGAGCTCAAGCAGTCCTCCCATCTCAGCCTCCCAGAGTGCTAGACTGACAGGCATGAGGCACCGCGCCTGGCCATGTCAATAGTTATTTCTAACCTTGATGACTACAATTACATTCTAACTGATCTTTATGGATCTTCCTTTCCTCTCCAATTCATTCTCCTCCCTATAACTATAACGATAATTGAAAATCTGATCATGCACCTACTACTCTTAGGCTAATGAGAAAAATACTTAATATAGCCTATAAAGCTTTGCATGAATTGAATTTTTCTCATTTAACTGACTCATCTTTTATTATTAATACCTTCCTACCAATTCTCTACATGTTGGCCATAATAGACTTCTTTCATTTCCTTAAATGATTATGGTCTTTTATGCTCAGTCATATTCCATCCTACATCAAGACCTTCATGCTGATGTTTCTTATGCCTAGGAGCTCTTTCCCTGCTCTTATAAATTCCTACTAATAATCCTTAAGAGCTAAGCCTTAGCTAAGTTTTCCCTGACTCTTCTTTTACCTATCCCCTCTGCCATTTGCCCTTTTATATGTCCTCATTGCTTCCTGCAGTTTTCCTTGATAGTGCTTATCACAGTTTGTAATTCCCAGTATATTTATTAGTACAGTGATCTGTGTGTCCCCTTAAGTTGTAAGCTTATTGAGGGCATAGGTTGATCATGTCTATTTTTATCATTATGGTATCCAAAGTGCCTAACATATAGAAAATATTTAACAAAGAGAAAAGAATTTGAAAGACGGGAGATAACTCTGGAGTCTAGAGGAGTGAGCATCTATCCTAGCTACCTAAAACTTATTACAGCAATGCTAAGAGCATAAATCATTTTTATTCTATTTGTACAAGGATAGTAGATGTGAGGAGGTCATAGCCATTTTCCTTATATGATTCCTGAAAATCAAATTATCTTTGCACAGAAGTTAGGGGTTATAGGAGAAGGCCTTATCAAATATAACTGTGTACTGCAGTTTAAATTTCCTTCAAAGGCCTACCAATAAATGTAGTTGAGCAGTATCAGGGGACCCTTTACCATATTCAGTATGATATTATTCAAGGATAAACCTTCAATTGCCTACTAACAAAATCCCTGCTACCCAGAAGGAGTAGGATTCTAAATTACTGAGGTGTTTTTTTTTTTTTGAGACAGAGTCTCACTCTGTTGCCTGGGCTAGAGTGCCATGGCGTCAGCCTAGCTCACAGCAACCTCAAACTCCTGGGCTCAAGCAATCCTTTTGCCTCAGCCTCCCGAGTAGCTGGGACTACAGGCACACCCCACCATGCCCAGCTGATTATTTCTATATATTTTTAGTTGTCCAGTTAATTTCTTTCTATTTTTAGTAGAGACGGGATCTCACTCTTGCTCAGGCTGGTCTCGAACTCCTGAGCTCAAACGATCCACCCGCCTCAGCCTCCCAGAGTGCTAGGATTACAGGCGTGAGCCACTGCACCAGGCCTAAACTACTGAGTTTTATGTGGCTTAAAATCAGTAAAAATAAATACTATCCTTATTCCGGTTTTTCCTAGTTGGTTTCTGTTTCCTGGCAAAGCCCGACAGGAAGATTGTGGACATGAATTTTCAATCTCTGTTGGATGGTAAGTTCAAACATTTAAGCCTCTAAAAATTTGTTGGTGATTTCCAGGTATCAATTGTCCCTTAAGAACTCTTTCACATACTAGGTTAAATATAAACAATAATAATAATTTGTCCTTAGAAATGTGTATTAGATGTAAAACTGGGTAATATTCCAAATATTATGTAGGTTTTAAAAGAAATTATTTATTATTATTACTAGGTCTTGAGCAATGATTAATAATACCTATTTCCGTAATTTAAAAATCACCACTGTGAACACTTAGTATGTATTGGACGTGTGTATTACTTACATTAACACTATAATTTAGTGTTATTTATTCCCCATTTTGCAAATTATGAAAGTACAGATCAAAAAAATTAAGTGTTGTGCTTGGTATCAGTTAGTAAACAAAGCCAGATTTAAACTCAGTTTTATGTTACATTAACCAAGTACTATTCTGTATGTGATAAAGGCTTGAGTTTTTGTAGGAATGTCTTATGTTTACCATATATGTTACAATCGTGTTTGAAAATAAAATTGGAGGATGATACTTACGTACCTAGTAGTTTGAGGATATTTCTACCTTATATAATAGGGTGTTTTTTGCTTATATAAAATATGTGAATAATAAGTAATACCCTGCTTTTGATTTTTTTTTTCCTTTTCCAGAGGATAAAGCTCCTCCTTCCTCCCTTTTAGTTCATAAGCTTATTTTCCAGTACATTGAAGAACAAGAATCTTGGAAGGAGAAATGTACAACACAGCATGAGATACCCAAGGTAAAAGTCTGATTGAAGTATTTAAAGGAAAATTTATGTTATTTTCCCTAAAAGCAGAACTGAAATTTTATGTATATAATGGTGGATCCTGAAATGATAAATATATTCAATTGTTTAACTTCTTAGGGTTCTTTATAAAAGAGCCACTAAACATTGAAGTGTTTTCATAATTTCATGAATTTTTTTTCCCTATTTTTTCTAGATGCTTCAAGAACTCTCACTGGCAGTGAACCATTGCAGACTCCTTGGAGAGGAGATTGAGTTTTTAAAGAGATGGGGACCAAATTATAACCTGATGAACATAAATGTGGATAATACTGAGTAAGTGTATTAGTTCCCTAGGACTGCCGTAACAAAATACTACACATCAGATGCCTTAAATCTGTGGTCCCCAACCCCTGAACCTCGAACCGGTACTGGTCCCTGGCCAGTTAGGAACCAGGCTGCACAGCAGGAAGTGAGCATAGGGAGAGTGAGCAAAGCTTCATCTGTATTTACAACCACTCCCCATCACTCGCATCACCACATGAGCTGCACCTCCTGTCAGATCAGCTACAGCATTAGATTCTCATAGGAGCTCCAATCTTACTGTAAACTGCACATGTGAGGGATCTAGGTTGCGCAGTCCTTATGAGAATCTAATGCCTGATGATCTGAGGTGGAGTTGAGGTGGTGATGCTAGTGCTGGGGAGCAGGTGCAAATACAGATTATCGTTAGCAGAGAGGTTTGATTGCACAATAAATGTAATGCACTTGAATCATCCCAAAACCATTCCCCCCGCCCTGGTCCATGGAAAAATTGTTTTCCATGAAATTGGTCCCTGGTGCCAAAAAGGTTGGGGACCACTGGCTTAAACAACACAAATTTATTGTTTCACACTTCTGGAGGCTAGAAATCTGAAATGGAGGTGTCATCAGGGTTGGTTCTTTCTGAGGGCTGTGAGAGGGAATTGCTTCCACGCCTTTCTCCTAACATCTGGTGGTTTCCTGGCGATCTTTGGCATTCCTTGGCTTATAAATGTATAACCCTGATCTCTGCCTTCATTTTGACATGGTGTTCTTTCATTGCACATGTCTGTGTCCAAATTTTCCCCTTTTTGTAAGGACACCAGTCATATTGGATTAGAGGCCCACGCTACTCCAATAAGACCTCATTTAACTAATTACATCTATAAAGGTCTGATTTCCAAATAAAGTCACATTCTGAGGTTTTGGGGAGTTAGCACTTAAACATAGAATTCTGAGGGAATACAATTTAACCCATAACAGTAAGTAATTAGTTAAAAACTTATTAAATTAATATATTGTGTTAATATGTTTCATGACTAATAATGATAAAACAATTATTATAATACCTTGTTCCAGATGTTTTACCTTGTTCGTTTGGTAAGGGCAAGAAATAATGTCTACCTAATTTTGGCATGCCAGTGTAAAAAGAAAATGTATTTGTGTTTCAGTCTAGTTTTGTTTTACATTTTTAATTATGAATCTTGTCTTTTACAGATTGAGGCTTTTATTCTGTAGCTCTGCAGCATTTGCAAAGTTTGAAATAACTTTGTCTCTCTCAGCCCATTATCCATCTGTACCATTGCCTTTCACCATTCAAAATCACCTTGGGAACATTGGGTGAGTAAAGGGCCAACAGGATAAGACTCTCAGCTACCTTTTCACCTTTTTTATTTTATTTGAAAGATCCCTCGAAGTGGTCAGCAAATGGATGGACCACAGTGAGAGCTAAATGTCAGTTCTGACTTCGTTTTGAAGAATTGTTCTTAAAGTCAGTGACCTTCATTGCTATCTCCATTGGATGCTGGAGACCATTGGTCTATTCTTTTATATCTGCTTCACTTTTTAAACACTTCTACGTGGAACAGGAATCAAGAAGGGAAAAATCCTTTATAAGCTTAGCCCAGATCACATATAAACAACTTCTATGGCCTTAAAAACAGAATAATCACTTGAAAAGCTGTGCAGTCAAAATACTTCTAAAAATATCTCATTCCTACTAGGATTTGATATATTTTGTGACTTTTTAGACATACTGCTGACAGATTGGAAGATGGCAGAGTTTAGAATTTGCCTACTTTAAATCCGTCAACAAACACCAACACTAGATTTTTATAGCCAGAGAAAGCTGTTAGGTCAAGATACCTCAGGAAGCTAAGACAGGAAGATTGCTTGAGTTCTGGGCTGTAAGTGTGCTATGCTGACCAGGTGTCTACAGTAAGTTCGGCATCAACATGGGAACCTCCCGGTAGAGGGAGTTGAGGGGGTGGGAGGGTGGCGCCACCAGTTTGCCTAAGGAGGCGTGAACCAGCCCAGTTCAGAAACAGGGTGGATCAAAACTTCCATGCTGATCAGTAGTGGGACCATGCCTGTGAATAGCCACTGCACTCTAGCCTGGGCAACATAAAGATACCCTGTCTCTAAAAACAAAAGTGGAAAACCCACTTGTAAAATGCTGCTAATCAGAACATATATTCAGAGCAACTTGAATCTATGCTCCCGGGTTGCAGTTCTCAAACTTGGCCCAAATAAACTCCCTACTTATATTAAAAAAAAAAAAAAAAGATACCTTACAATTGCACACAAAATTGTTTCTTTTTTTTTTGTTTCTTCTTTTTTGTACTTAGCCTCTTGGCTCAAACAAAATTGTTCCTTAGACCTTGTTTTGGAATCCCATTTCAAACTGGACAGTCTGGTTATTCCCAGAAATGCCCATGTACACTTCTAGGAGACTGAGAAACCGTACCCAAGAACATAAAATTCCACTGAATTGGAGATAAGTATAAGATTCCAGAAAAATTAACATTTTGTTCTTTCCAGCCAAGACGAAATTGCTACCATTCTATCTAAAGTGCCACGGGAGGACAACTACCTGAAGAATGTAGTCAAGCAAATTTACCAAGATCTGCTTCACGACTGCCATTTCTTCCACTAGACCCATGGACTACAGCTCTAACAATCAACTAGAATGTACTTAATGACATTATGTCAGGGTCTCCATTGGTCTGTAACCTTTTTCTTTAGGACATAGACGCCCTAGTAAAATTCCTTCTGATGATGTGATAGTTATTTCGTATGGTTAGTTTTTAAGTCTTTACAGTCAGGAATGAGAAAAGGCCTCAAATAGTCTGTTACCAGCTTTTGTATCTTTGTACCAAAGGTTTAAGTAGTAGGACACTTAGGGAAATTTTCCCTAACTAAAGTAGGGCTCTCTGCTTTAGTACAAACCCTAAGGAGTAACTTTTAAGTTTAAGAGGAGTTGTTACCAATGACAAAAACATTAGCCATTTTTCCATATATAGAGCTTTAATTTTTAGGTGGCCTAGCTTCTGCCCAGCAGATATTTCTGGAGTAGAGACACGAGTGTCTACAAACTATTCTTCTTCCTTTTTCTCCATTTCAAAAATGCTATTAAGAGAAAGCAATAGTATTCAGCTATTGCAATGGTTGCCATCTTTTTTTGAGGACTGCCTTTTGTTCTATAATATCCATTAATGTTTGCTTAATAAGTATAATTTTTCTAGGGAAAGTTGATTCATTTGGGTATAGTATACGTATGTAAATATATTAATGTTTTTTGTGTTTGTCATGTAATAAGGAGAGGTATATAGAAATTCATGTAGAGATACAATATAGAGAGATAACCTTCAGCCTAGGCAGCTTACATCTTTCTGAAGGATACTTTAGAGCAAGATTCTCAATCTTTTATTAAATAATGACACTTCAAACAATAGCATATCCAAAACACTATCAGTTTCTGGCAGTAATAATAAAATAAGAAACTTGCTATAAGTATTGGTTCCTGAAGCCTCATATACAAAAATAGTATCCACTGATTATTAAATGAGCAATATTATCTATGAGGTAGGCAAAAAACTTTCACTCAAACTTTAGTCAAATCCTAATCATAATAAATTTTGTTTTATATTTAATTCTAAACTAAAATATATTTACATTTTTAAAGTAATTTATCTTAAAATTTTGCTTTACACTTTAGGATTAAAGTCTTATGGGTACCAGGAATGTTATCTTCCCTCTGGATTGGTTTTTACTTCTGTGCTATACATCAAAAGATCACATGGACTTTTAACCTTCAAAAGTCAACACAAAACTCATTTGCTATAAAAATCAAGATGTAGATGTTCCCTATTTCCATAAACTCCTTGGAAAAACTTTAAAGTCATCAATATGGTCTATTTCTATGGAGGTTAAGTTAGCTTTCTTATTAGGGTTGTTTTATTTCTTTTCTATAAGTCTAAACAGTAGAAGTTTTGTTTTATTCATTTCAGTAACCTGGAACAACCAGCTCCAAGAAGGATTTGGCTTGTAATGATGGTCTCTACTTTCTTGGATTTGTAATATTAGTTCATAATTGTAATATTTACCTAGCTATTTGTGTTTTTCTTTGTTCACAGTATCGGCTATTTTCATAAATTTTTTGGAAGGTTTTCTTCACTAACTGGAAAATAGATTATTTTTGCACTATTAAAATGTATTACTTGAAATCTTTTGTAAGTAGTATTTCTTTATGAAGTGAAGAGTATTTTAGCATGTATCCAATAGACCTTTGAAGACATACCAAAGAAACCTCCCTCTAGGTCCACTTACCTATTTGAAAACTAAGATAGGATTAAGATATGTCAGGACCTTAATGTAAGAACCAAGTACAAACCAGAGTTAGCCCTATGTCTCTGAAGCACAGTAAAAGAAAACTATTTTGAGGTTCCTCAGGAAACTATCAGTTCTCTGAGCTAATGCAGTGGTTCTCAAAGTGTAGTTCCCAGATTAGCAGCATCAGCCTCACCCCAGACCTACTGAATCTGAAACCCAGGAGTAGGGACCAGCAATTTGTGGGGTTTTTTCCCCCACTTTCTGTTTTTCTTTTATCAGCTTTATTGAAGTATGATTCACTCATCATAAAATTCATCATTTAAAGTATAAAATTGGATGATTTTTAGTATATTCACAGTTATATATAACAATTACCACAATCGATTTTATAACACTTTCATCACCTAGAAAAACAAATTCTAAATTGTATATTTTCCCACAATTTTTAAAGAACCAATACCCTTTTGGTATTATCCTATCTTCACATCATTTCCCACCTGACATTTCTTAAAGCTACTATTAATCTACTTCCTGTCTGGATAGGTTTGCCTATTTTGAACATTTCATATAAATGAAATAATATAATACATGGTCTTTTGTTACTGGCTTTCATTTAGCGTAATGATCAAGGTAGTCGTAGTATTTATTCGTAGTAGTAGTATTTATTCATGTCGTAGTATTTATCAGTACTTCGTTCCTTTTTATGGCCAAATAATATTTAATTGTATAGATATACCACATTAGTTTATCCATGATTAGGGCAATTAGGCAAGAAGAAGAAATAAAAGGTATCCAGACTGGAAAAGAAGTAGTAAAACTATTTGCAGATGATATGATCTTATTATATAGAAAATCCTAAGGAATTCACTAAAAAACTATCAAAACTGATAAATGGTTCAGCAAGTTTGCAAGATACAATATCAGTATTCATAAATCATTTTTATATACTCAGCAATGAACAATCCAAAAATGAAATTAAGAAAACAATTCCATTTATAATAGCTTCATAAAATTATTTAGGAATAAATTTAACCAAGGAGGTTTATGACTTGTACATGAAAACAACAAACATTGGAAGAAATTAAAACCTAAGGCCAGGGCCAGGCGCGGTGGCTCACGCCTGTAATCCTAGCACTCTGGAAGGCCAAGGGGGGTGGATTGTTTGAGCTCAGGAGTTCAAGACCAGCCTGAGCAAGAGCGAGACCCCCGTCTATACTAAAAATAGAGAGAAATTAATTGGACAGCTAAAAATATATAGAAAAAAATTAGCCGGGCATGGTGGCACATGCCTGCAGTCCCAGTTACTTGGGAGGCTGAGGCAGTAGGATTGCTGGAGCCCAGGAGTTTGAGGTTGCTGTGAAATAGGACGCCACGGCACTCTAGCCCAGGCAACAGAGTGAGACTCTGTCTTAAAAAAAAAGAAAACCTAAGGCCAGGTGAGATGGCTTACTCCTATAATCCCAGCACTTTGGAAGGCCAAGGTGGGAGGATCACTTGAGATCAGGAGTCCGAGACCAGCCTGAGCAAGAGCAAGACCCCATCTCTACTAAAAAAAATAGAAAAAATTAGCCGGGCATGGTGGTGTGCACCTGAAGTCCTAGCTACTCAGGAGGCTGAGGCAGAAGGATTGCTTGAGCCCAGGAGTTTGAGATTGTTGTGAGCTAGGTGGATGCCATGGCACTCTAGCCAGGGTGACAGAGTGAGACTCTGTCTCAAAAAAAAAAAAAAAAAAAAGAGAGAGACCTGAGCTAATACACTCGGCCCCCTGGACATGTGATACTCTGGGCCACCTCAGGGCTTTTCAGAGAGTCTCCATCAGCAAGAAGGCCCTCACCAGATGTGCCATATCAACCTTGGACTTCTCAGCCTCCAGAGCTGTAAGAAATAAATTTCTTTTCTTTATAAATTATCCAGTTTCAGGTATTCTGTTATAAGCAACAGAAAACAGACTACGATAGAAAAATATAATTGTCCCTGGATAAATATACAGATTTCACAATGTATAAGCAGATTCTGTCCAAAATCTGTTCCTATGTCAAGCTCAGAATCACAAATAATTCTTTTAACACTTTTGTGCAACTGTAAGTTCAAAGGGGTGTAACTTTAAACATTACTTGTAGAAATTCTAAAATTTGGCCAGGTGTGGTGGCGGTTTACGCCTGTAATCCTAGCGCTCTGGGAGGCCAGGTGAGGTGGCTTACTCCTATAATCCCAGCAGTTTGGGAGGCCAAGGTGAGAGGATCACTTGAGGTCAGGAGTTCAAGACCAGCTTGAGCAAGAGCAAGACCCCCACTGTACTAAAAATAGAAAAAATTAGCTGGGCATGGTGGCACATGCCTATAGTCCCAGCTACTGTTGGGGCTGAGACAAGGACGATCACTTGAGCCCAGGAGTTCAAGGTTACAGTGAGCCATGATAGCACCATAGCACTCCAGCCTGGGCTGCCAAGTGAGACCGTCTCTTTAATAAAAAAAATTAAAAATTGGGGATGCAGAGAAGTCTGCCCTGTAGCTAAATAGCTAGAGGTAGTATAGCTCTGATGTAACAGAGGTAATGGCCTGAAAAATGGTAAAATGTTTTACAAACTGTCTTTTTAAAACCCCTTCACCCTTTTTGGGAATTAAAACCTACACTCCTGCTCCAGGCCACTAATCAGAGGGGTCTGGGAGTGTTCTTTGTTTTTTTGTACTACAGAAGATGTCTCAATGGAATTGTCCAGGCAGAGGTCAGCTGGAGATGCTGTAGTTAAACAGCAATAGCCCAAAGCTGAAAAGTCTCTTTAAAAGCTCTGTATTTCTGCTTAAAGGGAGGACGATGGTACTTTAACACATTGCTACACTAGGAAAAAAATTTTTCCTTGGGGCCACAGTGTTTTATTATGAAAATAGAATAAAAAGATTTTAATTTAATGAAAAATTTGTTTATTTTTTATTGTTTTCTGTGCATGGGTTATATGCAACTTGAAAAATAGTTTTCACGGCTCCCAAGGTAGAGACGTGTGAGTTACATATGCTTCACGAGGCCCTGGGCTCAACGCTAGCGTTGAGTTAAATACAACTCACATGTCAGTTAATGTGTTAAGATGAGAATCTGCCATCCTTCTCATTTGCTGGCAGATTAATAAACTTCTCTTTCCTTTTCCTCAAACTACTTGTCCTCATTCTTTGTTTCGCCACGGGGACTAGTACGGAACTTTTGGTAACACTGAGAGATTTCATGTAGGCCTAATGAAGCCTGATAAATCACTTTTGTCCCACAACGGTGTATACCTTCTAGTGACTGTTTTTGATACCATATTTAGTTTTTCTGTAGGATAGCTTCCTA